ATAAAAAAACATAGTCGAAAATTATGTTCAACTACATTTAATTATTTGCCAGGTCCGATGTAACCGGCTGGGTGGGCCAAGGAGGTGCGTTCTTGGGCACGAAGCGTACTCTGCCTGGAGACAAGAAGAGCGAAATCGCAGCTCGCATCAAACAATTCAACATCCAGGGCCTCCTCATCATTGGTGGATTTGAGGTGAACATTTCAATGTAAATACATACCTGCTGCAAAAGTGCGTGGGCATCCTCACCAAATAAGATTCAATATTAATGTTTCTCGTCACTATTTTGTGACTGTTAATTGTCCAAAACGTAAACAAAGATAGTTTCCTATTTTGTTAATAAGCATTTAGAACTCTTAATGCTGTAATATGATAAAAATTAGAACAATTAATATTTTACAATATATATTTTTCCTTAACTTCGTTTAATACATTAACTATAAGAAAAGACTATGTTTAAGGTCAAAAATAATTTTATGACATTGGTAACACAATCAGGATCAAAATTTGGATCCAATGGATTATATGCCTTTGAATCGATCCACAGATCGAATCGTATGCTCTTGAATCGATCTCATAAAAATCGTTTCAAAATTAATTTCAATAAAAAAGAAATTTGTCAGCCTTTTTGTCTTCAGGCGGTTAAGATTATTAGCCAGTGAGAAAAGACGTTCAGATGGCACAGAATAAGCGACAATCGCTAAATACCGTAGACTTAGGGCGTGTTTATGCGACCGCATGCACGTGTTCAGAGACCGAACAGTCATGGCAAAATACGCTCTATTTATTTAGCTTTCAGCTGGAAGGCACTAGCTTGTCTTTTGTCTACGCGGTCGCCGAGCGGAGCCCGCTCTTCGACCGGGTGGCGGCCACGCGAAAATTTTCTCGTGTGTATGGGCGCTTATTGTACTTAGATGTTGCCAAACTGCTTTTCTTGCAGGCCAATATAAAATAGGGCTTCAGAAAGAAACTATTTTGTGTAAATTATGAATACGATCAAGACAATTCGATTCGCCTCCATGTTGCCGATCCTCATAAAAATCGAATCGTAAAGTGCACCCATAGATTCCTTGTCTCCGTAGTGCGGTTGTCAAATTATGGTGTGTTGTTGTTAAAGTTGTAAATAAACAATTATTGTTAACATTTTGTGATAGACAATTGAAATCGAAGAATAAGAACCTCCTTTTTTTCAAATTTCATTAAAACAGAAAGGTAGCACACCTTCATTCACACTGTGACAATGACATTAATCATGACATTTCTTTTCATTTTGGATATCTAATTATGATTCGACTATACATCAGAACGTTACAAAAATTACATCATCTGTACAGGGTCAAGAGCACATCAAGCTTAACACTTTTGGTTTAAACCCAACTCTATGCCGCTTACCATAAGAACGGTCCTAAGGGTCAAGCTTAACGTGCTCTTGACTGTACTACAACACACTAATTTCGGTAATCATAAAATTAAATATAATAAAATGAATGTATTTTTAAAATATTCATCTAAATTAATATATATTCTCTGAGAGTTTTCATGCACTTTTGTATTGGAACATCATATAAAAATTATACAATTATAAGAAAAATTAATTCTTTTTCTCCGGGCCTGCAACACTGCATTTGAGGCTTTTCGCATTAGCTTTAACGTTGACTAAAAACATCGTTATGTAATCTGCACACCCGAAAAGATCACAGAACTCTTGGACGTGTCTCGATCCCGCAGCTGGTCGAGGAATGTGAACCAAAACAGTTAGCCTGATTACACGATTCATCCAAGAAAATGATTGAAATTTTTTGAGTTCGTGATCATTACATTTTTTTTTTCATTGGTTTAAGTTCTAGATAGAACAATCAAAATTTATTTATTATAAAGTATAATGAAATAGTAAGTATTAACATAGTACTCGTACAATAAGACAAATACGGTAACGCCATACAAACTTAGCAGCGTGGTGTACTGGCCTATTCCACTAGTTCCCACCAGCTGTCCCCCCTGGTGGAGTTCGCGTTGCATAAGACTGGTCGTCCCAACGCGCCCTTCATTATTATGCGAATGTGTGCGAACGTACACGGCGCGCGGCTGTCGTGCACACATACATGTCGCGCTGTTACTTTGTACAGAATTACCATACTTACCTTATTTTACTATGATATTCAGGTCACCGCGATAGCAAATAGAAACATGAAAGCAAAGCTTAGTCACAAGAAAAAGACTCAAAAACTTACTGGCACAAAGTCATTGTCAATTTGTCATTGCTAGCGAAAGATCGCGTGAGTCCCACGCCGAATGCCGCTAGTACAATGTACTGAAATAGTACAGCCAATTCAAAAAGTTTATGAAACTTGACTTTACGACTCGAGCACATTTTGTATTATACATAAGTTAGTATTTTTATGTGAAATCGAATTGAGTGGGTGCAATTTAGTCTTCATCAGTTGGTTACAACACTATTATTAGAAAATACATATTCAGGAACTGTTGAGAAGACATTTCGTGGTAATTTTCAATTCACGCGAAAGTAATACGTGAAAATGTATTTTGTCGGTAACGTTTTAACGTAATTTTTTTAAGTCCATAGTTATTTGTTTTTTTGTTTGTTTTTTTTTCTTTGATTTCTTTGAAAGTTACATTCTATTGTCACTGTAGCTGCCAAAAGGGGCCTATTGTATTGTGACAACTATAGTATTAATAGCAATAGCCAGAATTAAAAAAACTTATCATTAATAATTTAACAGGCGTATCAAGCAGGGTTGGAGCTATACGAATCTCGCAAGCAGTTCCCGGAGTTCTGCATCCCGCTAGCGATAATCCCATCGACGATTAGTAACAACGTTCCGGGTACGGACTTCTCGCTTGGCGCTGACACAGCACTCAATGAGATCACTGAAATCTGTGACCGGATTCGCCAGTCAGCACAGGTATATTACGAATTACTTTATTTTTATTTTATATGGTACAATAAGTGAAAAGACTGCAAATAATGCTTAGAAATATTACATGTGTAACATTTTAAATCTGACATGCAATTATATTTGTACACAACATTGTAAAAAAAGTTTGTAAATGTAGTAAAAGGAAAAATGTTCAAGAAGGGTGCTCCTCACTTATACGAACATTAAATAAACTAATTTCAAAAGATGTACCGTTCATTTAATATAATTTTTATTTGGTCCTATTTCACTTCATATGATTCTTGTTTGATATAACATTCACATTTTATGAAAAAAATTATATAAAGTTCATATTATATAACAATCATTTCATATATTGTCAATTTAGATAAGTTGACGTTATAATATCACTTTTTATAAATAATAAATTTAAACCCGGCTCGCCATGGTACTTATCTGTTCGATACTAGGCATAGACATATATCTAAATAGACACCGCAAGTGTACGTACTTCGCGTGCCCAATGTAAGTGAAATACACTTAGTTGCCGCTACTACACTTCAGAACGCGCTCGACCGTTATCGTAGATAAACACGAAACGTAGAAAAATGCATAATTGTGCCGGTACAAACTGCAAAAGCACCATAACTGTGGGTAAACGAGTAAACAGGGACGTTTCCTTCCACGGACAAGTGATTTTGTAATCAGAAGATGCATAATTTATTTTAAAAACAATTATTTTGATTTTGTATGAATTTCGAGAAAACAAATATGCAACAGAGTGTTTGCCTCATGATTTGTAATACAATGCGGCTTTTACTTGGTGCGATCCTTTGTATAATACGCCATGAACGAACGCACTTTTGTATAATGCATTCAGTTTCGTGGTACGGCCGCTTGTACATTTTTTTGGCCAAATTTAACATTTAGTTGGTGCGTTAGCCAACACGGTTCTCGATTCTGATCGATTTTGAAAACATAGGGACGAAAATTATTATGACCTTAGCAATATTATAAAAATATTCTATAACTTTTTGTTATCACGTTTAGTAACGTTTCTTTTTTTTTTTTTCAGTTTTGTAGTATTTATTATCAGTAGTGTCAGTAATTTCGATAATTTTTGCAACGCATTGCCTCGAATGTGTAATTTAAAAGCAAGAGGCCATACCTCTTGCTTTTAAATTACACTCCTAGAGTTGTTTTCCTTAATATAGTTTACAATGCTCAATTTTCATTTCGACAAATTATTATTGTTAGACACTTGATAAGATCTATTTACTGAATGAGTCACGATAAAATAATGAAGAATCATGTATGTAACACAGTCGCTGAAAACAAAATAGTTCATATTTCGACCCCTCCTATGTAAAGTATCGTGTGTCGAAATTGCCAAGTTTACAACGGAGCGTTTTAAAGTCCTGAATTCACTGAAATGAGCATAACACGTGAATTTAGCATTTCTCAGTTTTATTCGAGAACAAGTTTTAAAGTAACGAGCTTTGCTGAATAAAACTGAGAAAAGCTAAAGTCACGTGTTATGCTCATTTCAGTGAATTCAAAACTTTAAAACGCTCCCCTGTAAACTTGGCAATTTCGACATACGATACTTTACGTAGGAGTGGTCGAAATATGAACTATTTTGGTTTGAGCGACTGTGTTACATACATGATTCTTCATTATTTTATCGTGACTCATTCAGTAAAGAGATCTTATACCCACCAGCTAGAATTATCTATTAAAAGGATATTACTGTGAATACTAACAATTACATATTTTTGTCGAAACTGTAACTGTACACGTCAAGATATTTTATTGATAGGGGTAGTGGAAATGAAATTCCACTTATCCCAACCAGTCATGGTGTGGTAGGGAAGAGTGGAAAAGAATCCACTTGTCCCCACCAGGGGGGACAGCTTGTAGGGACTAGTGGAATAGGCATACTTAAAGAGCAGCGAAATCATCTTTTCTGATAATCAGGTGATTTTGAGATAGGTCGCTATTCTAGAAAGCCATCGATTTGTTATTATACGATTCACATACTGCTTAATCCATTCATGAAATCATTTCATGAAACGTTTTTCGTATTCTTTAAGAGTTATAATAACGACGTTTTGTAAAACTCCTAGGTGTTTAGTTAAATGTTGCGACTTCGAGAATTGGAAAGTTAATATATATTATTGTTATAAAGGGTACGAAACGCCGCGTGTTCGTCATTGAGACTATGGGAGGCTACTGCGGCTACTTAGCTACATTGGCAGGTAATTATTAAAATATAATCTTTTAAAAAATAAGTTCATTACTATTTAAAAATGAAGTGGTCAAGATACGTATTAGTAGCAGTATAGCTCCTTGTGAAAGTGTTCGTCCAGGGAAGTACTACCACCTTCTGCCGCCAAGCTGTAATGTGAACATTACTGCGTTCCGGTTTTGAAGGATAAGGGTGCTGTTGAAATTACAGGCATACGGGACTTGGCAACTTATGTCTCAGGGTGACAGGCGCGGTGGCAGTGCCTGATCTTTGTGATTTAAAGCTCTGATGGCACTGCAAGTGTTATGGACAGGCGTGACGCTTACGACTAGGCACACGACTTGTTCGTCCCGTAAGATCTCGCGCGACTTGATATAAAAACCCTAATTCGAATTCGCGTCCATAAAACTATACGCCTGACGTAGCTATTTACAATCCTTTTGGGTGTTACATTGTTAATCAGTAATATTCCTTTACTACTACGCGCATCATTATTTGTATGCACATACATTCAAACGTTACATTCGGACGTACCTTCATTATCTTCTTGATTTAGGATTGGCTGGTGGCGCCGATGCAGCGTACATTTACGAAGAAAAGTTCTCGATCAAGGATCTGCAACAAGACGTGTACCACATGGCGTCCAAGATGACTGGTGGCATCCAGCGCGGTCTCATTCTGCGTAATGAAAAGGCCAACGATAATTACAACACGGAGTTCATTTATCGTTTGTACTCTGAAGAGGGCAAGGGATTGTTCACCGCTAGATCAAATGTACTTGGTAAGCAACATACCATACCAACATACAATTAAACGTTATTCATTTATATTAAAAAATATACTTAAATTGATTGTCAAGGGTGAAAACGAAACAGCTATTAGTTGCGTCATACTTTTTAGCGGCATAAAAAGGTCCTCGAAGCAATTTTACTAAAAAGACGCTAGCTAGTAAAATACGTGTGTTAAAAATATGAATCAAATACTCTTTTATTTAATTCACTAATATAAATCAGGCCGGGCAAATACATACTTATTATCAATTGAAAGTTATGAATGGATTGAATCGAAAATTCTACAATTATTTTAAAAAGCATCCCTTAAGGCCGGCGCAGAGTGACGTCGCGGCATGGCACGGCATGGCAAAGGATTTTATTTTTGATTAAGTTATTTTTATCCTTATTTCATCGAGGTTAGAATTCATATTACTTTATTTCGATACCAATATACCGCGGCACGTCGTGGCATGCCGCAGGACGCCGCGGTATGCCGCGGCACATCGTGGCATGCCGTTTCATTCCACAGACGTCCCGCAAGTCACGTCGGTCACAGAATTATGACAATTAAACTAATTGAAATAAGGTTTGAAACTAGTGCGGCGGCGATTTCGGCGAATGGCGCGCAGCGAATGTGCCGCGGCATGCCGCAACGCGCTTCCGCATGCCGCGACGCGCTTCGACATGCCGCGGCATGCCGTGCCGTGCCGCGACGTCAGTCTGCGCCCGCCTTTAAGATATGGATTGTAACAAACAAAAGATTTTTGTATATACTTCGTCTTATAATCATTGGGGGTATGCTTATATGCATATATTCCATCTTATCAATCTTTACAATTTGATCAAATAATTTATTACATGTAAACCGTTAGTTGTATTTCATCACGGATATGTACTTAGAAGGCGCCACGTTAGTTATTATTCTAACTAGTAATAACTCCATGAATTTAATCATATCTCCATAATACTGTTTTTCAATTCAGTGGTGTCAAATGGATAACTACAAATTAGTCAAAGAACATGCCACCAAAAAGTTGTGAATGTTCCGTTTCAACTAATCACTTTCAAAACCATTCTGATACTTATTCCAGGCCATATGCAACAAGGTGGTTCCCCCACTCCATTCGATAGAAATATGGGCACGAAAATGGCAGCTAAGTCTCTCAACTGGTTGGTCGAAATGATTCAGAAAGGTCCCAACAGCACGCCCGATAATGCCTGTTTGCTTGGCATCGTCAAACGCCAGTACAAATTCACTCCTCTTGAAGAATTGAAGGCGCAGACAAATTTTGCGTAAGTTACCGTAACTAAAAATATACCACACAATGGCAACACGTACCATAAGTTACTATTCCTGTTATGAGTAAAAAATTGAGCAACATGGTGACTTTTTAATTTTTTAAATCTATGTCTCCGGCGAAGTGTAGCCGTTTGAACCACTGTTCCTGTGTTGACAAATAATGAATACAAAAAGTGACAACTGTCGTTTTTTCCGACGACAGTTAATACAAATATTTGGTTAAATGGCATCACTCAAAACTTTAAATATTTAGTACAATAATTAGTACAAACAATGATATTTACGGCAACATTCAAAAGTTTGGGTAATTAGTAGAAACAGTGGTTTAAATGGCTAGATTCTTAAAAGTTTGGCTTGACAGATAATTAATATAAATTGTTATTTAAATGGCAACCTTGTGAGAACGTTATAAGTAACACAACATGATTGAAAACCTACGTAATCAATTGACACAAACTTTAATACAACACAGTACAGTTTTACAAAACGCTACATTTGGGGGGGACTTTAATATAAAATATTTTGTAAAAAGTATTCTTTTCTAATCTTGCAAGGTCTTTGCGTCCCAAAGACCTTGCAAGATATTAAATTGTTAATATTTACCTGATAGACAACTTGATTTTGTACACTGAGTATTCAGTATTGAAACAAAAGTTGTGTGCATATTACAGTCAAAGAATACCAAAGCAGCAATGGTGGATGAAACTCCGTCCGCTTCTCCGTATTTTGGCTAAGCACGACTCTACATACGAAGAAGAGGGCATGTATATGACGGTTGAACAGGGGGAAATCGATGCAGAAGACGTCATTTAAACCTAACGTCCTACCCTAGGCATTATAAAATATGCCATAGGCAATCTATGACATTTTTCTTCAGTGTTTGCTATCTCAAATTTATAAGTTGTAAAAGTAGATGTTAAGCAATGTTGATGTGAATCGCATTTTTAGAATTTTTATGTAGGATTTATGAGATTGATTATTGAGCACACACTATTTAATACAAAAATCTGTATTAATTGCCATTTTATTGGGTTCTTTATAGTATTTATTACATTTTGTATTTGGTGAGGCACCTTAAAAGTTCTGTATACACAATTTTGTATTCTTTACAAGTTCCTGGATTGTTTTCATATAATTTAAATTGTACAATTTCTATTCCACTGTTCCACCAACTTTTAACTGTGACCACATGCCAATAAAAATATTTATTATACATTTGTGTAGATAAAAATATAATATGAGGGAAATAGTTGAAATTACTTTAATTGTTATATTTATAATAATATACAACAATATTGAAATGGCTGTGGCATTGCTGTGTATTATTTATAACAAATACTTTGTTAACTAATTAATATAAATCTAGGAACAATTTATTTTTGTTATTATTATGCTTACAAAAACCCTAGGCAGGTTTAATTCGAAATTTACATTTTATTTTGTATGGTACTATTTATCATTTGACTTGTGTATTAAAATTTGTAAGCTTTAAATGTTAGACCGTACGGAAAATTTAATCTATATTCTAGGTTATCTGACAGTATTTTTATGAAATTATTTATGATAACTACAATAAATCGTTGACGGAGATTAATTATGTATGACATTATAAATTACTTATCAAAATATTGGTAAAATGTACCTACCTATTTAAATATTGGAGTACATTTTCATTAAATTGATCAGATATTGAAATGGTTCCGAGTTTAATTTATTTTCCTGTATCTAGCAAGACAAAACATGTGGATTCGTACGACATCATAATACCTACAGCGCCACCAACAATATTAACGAAAGGTGCCGATTTGCTCGATTTTTTGACGATCAACATATTAGAGGATGGAAAAAAATAATAGTCTAAGGTCGACACGTATGATCCTTAGAGTTTCCATAGTCTACGATATGATCAAACAAAACGAGTATATTTTTAAGTAACAGACAATCAACATCGCACTTTGTCGATCAGCACTTGTCGATGTAGACTCGAGCAAATATGTAGGTTTAAATTTCAAATATAAATTTTTCGGAAAATTTCTAACAATATGAAAAAACGAGCCCTGTTCCCCACCACGGGGGTCGGGCTCGGCCTGCGGCATGTGGTCGGGTTCAGTTTACGGGGTGTGCTCACGCTCTTCGGTGGCACAGCAGTTCGTGCTATGAGCGCTTGATGAGGAGGTTGATTCCCGATTTGGGCCAATTTAAAAAACGAACATTTCTATGTTGGTTTTGGTCTGAGTAATCTGGGTTATCGTTGTTTTGGTATTTATACTACAGGAAATTCGGCAGTAGTTTGGCATTATTTCCCCCTAAATACTGGAAAATGGAATCTAACAGAGAGACGGTTGAGATACAACAATGCCTTGGAAGTGTGCCTTACATTTTTACAATTGTAAGATCTTGTACTCATAATCCTTTACGCCTCCGTAAATTACCTCCATGCGATGGCGTGCGGGCGCTTCGGGCTTCGCCCTCCTCGGACCTCGGCCTACGGCTTCGGCACTTACGACTTTGTTTCAAAAAAATTTAAATAATCCTTAATAGCGCCCATATTTAAAAATTGCGAAAATATATTTTCACCACTAATTATTATCAAACAATCTTAGAAATCTTTTCGTGCCAAATTTCAGTCCGAGCAAAACAAGTTTTTACAACAGCCATTTACATAAAAAATTACGCCTATATCGATAAACGGCGGAAACAAAATTTTTACCCCATATTATGATTGAAGCCAAGCCATTTTCTGTTGAATTAAAAGACATTTTTTTATCTATCGCCAAAAAATTTATTATGGAAGCCAAGCGAAAAATGGCGAAAAATAAATGTTTGACCGCTAATTATTATTAAACACTCATGGAGACCCTGACGTGTCCATTTTCAATCCAATTAAAGCAAATTTTTATCTGCCGCTAAAAGAGTTTGTATGGCAGCCATATTGAAAAGAGGCGAAAAATAAATTTTGACTGCATATTATTATATAAAACCTATAGAGACCTCCAAATACCGATTTTCAGTTGAATTAGAACTAATTTTTATAAACGCTTGTTAGGCGGCCATATTCAAAAATGGCTAAAAACTAATTTTGATCATAAATTATTAACAAGCACTCATAGAGTGCCAACCATATGCCAATTTTCAAAGGGATCTGAGCAAATTTTTTCTGCCGTCATCGAACGCTTCTATGACGACCATATTTGAAAATGGCGAAAAACTAATTTTGAGCACAAATTATTATTCGGCACTTCTAGAGGCCTTCATATGCCAATTTTCAGCCGAATCAGAGCAAATCTTTTTCGGCAGTTATTTTTAACGAAAAAAAAAACACTTATATGTCAGCCAAATTAAAAAATCGCGAAAATAAACTTTTGCCCCCAAATTATGATTAAGGACTCCTAAAGACCCTTGCATGCCAATTTTCAGCCGGATCGAAGCAAGTTTTTCTTCGGTCGCCATTTAAAAATCGCCATCTTGATTTTTTTAACCCAGGCAGTTGACCAGTGTTACCCTCTATGACATTCATTCAAGCACCTATCCACCACCTATCTTTAATAGTTTCCGTGATGGGGGGCTTTGAAATTTGTATGGCGGCCATCTTGTTTATTTGAATTTCGAACATTTTTTACTTCCCGCGGAAATTGACCAGGGGGTACCTTATAAAAATGCCTTATAAATATTCCCTCCATATATTATAGTTTTTGCAGACCGTTGATTACTCTTTCATATTTTTCATATTCAGGTCCTTCTCATATTTGATTCTTTGCTTTGGAGCCTATTATAACCATTAGTTTTATTTGAATTCCTATATCTGTCGAGAAATGTGGAATTTTGAAACTGTTTGGCTCACTCAATCATACTTACCATTTTTACCAGTCAGTCTAACTGCGACTACATGGATATGAAACTTTTTTTTTTTTTGACGGGGGAGAAATCTTTATAGATACCCCTGAGCCCAGAGAGACTCAGAGGTTATGTGGGGACTCTCCCTCTAGACTGGAAGGCCTACCCCACTAAAACCCCCCCGGGTTTCCCTCTCGCCGGTTGAGTCGGCTCCGTGGGATCAGTGAACATTCACCACGACGCCGCCCGGCCGCCCTAGCTTACGCCAGGGCTCCCGCGCCAACGGAGGGGCGAGTCGGTTGTCCTCCGACCCGCCCCCCAGACGAGTGAGGCCGTGCAATGCAGGCTCCGGAGTCCCTGTCCAGAGCCCGCTGGTCTCACTAGGGGATCAGGTGAGCAGCGAACTGCCTTCGCCTTCTCCCCGTACGTCTGCGCCGGAGCGCGTGCGCGTCTGCCGCATCCTCGCGCACCCGCTCCGCGGCCTCCTTTTGTGACATAACCTCTGCGCAAAAGGAGTCCACCGCCTCCCAGGACTCCTCGCTATCGAGCATGGCGGCAACCACGCTCGGCAGCGAGAGGTCCTGCCCTACAGTCCCCGTCAGAGTGCGGCGCTGCCCATCCCACCGGCTGCACACCTCTAGGGTGTGCTGCGCGGTGTCATCTACAGCGCCGCACTCGTGGCACAACGGGGACGGTTATGGATATGAAACCTAAGTTAACCATAGAGGCACTGAAAGCCATTTTCACTTAGAAAAGGTAACCTTTTTAAATTACAAAAACTAGAACAGCAAAATTAGCAAATTTGTAAATGTAGTACTGAAAAGTGGTGTACAGGGCGTACACTTACAACATTTTTCATTAAAATGCTTATATCACAAAAAAAATAATCATCCGACTTTTAAATATTTTTTTCTGAATTGTTACAAACTAGGCAACATCCTGTTCCCAGGTGATCGTTGAGTTTTGGGACACCTGTATAATATAATTCTTATTTGAAGGCTCATTATGTTCTATATTTAGACACTCGTAATTATAATTTGAAGTTTTCATTTAGCTTGAATTATAAAATAAAAGTCTATAGCTAAAAGCAATAGTGTAAAACGAGGTTTAAAATTATTGGAAAACAGCGAAAAAAAATCATTGCTAGAAAATCTTAAAAAGATAAAAATTTTAAATATGAGTTTTTCAAAATGGAAATTTTTCCAAGACCCAACAGTATGTATTTGGGCAATGGGCAAAAATACAATTTTTGTATAAAAAAAACTTCGTTTAATTTTCGGCATCCTCAATAAATATTTTCTATTGTGTTTTCATCAACTCCTGTAGTTGGTCCGAGAGTTCACTTGCTATTAAAAGACGTTGAATTTTCAACACGGCGTAGTAGGTATTTCTTCATGTATGCTTCCATACCATTTGCCTTTTATATCTTGATCCTTCTTCCCCAAACTTTTATGTTATAAAGTTATATTTATAATGTTGTCGTAATCGAAATTAGAAATTTTAAATGTTGTACTTTATCGTACTTTCACTTCAAATTCCCACCATTTTCTTTTTAATTGTTTTTAATAATGTATTTTTTTTAAGAGATTTGTCTTTGATACATGTTTTTTGAGCCATGTCATCGTTTAATTATCGGGATCCTCAATAAATATTTTCCATTGTAGTTCTGTTTTCGCTTTCTATTATATAGCTTAGTTCTCTTGTTTGAGTTTCCTAAATAGTCTTTTAAGCGGTGGGAGTCAAATTTACGTTTTCACTTGCTCATAAATCACACAAAAACTTTGAAAATTTTCTGGATAAATTTTTTCATACTTTGGCTTAAAATAAGGACTACAAGTTCTAACTTTCTTCTTTCTTCGTATTTTCTTCATAATATACTTAAAATAAAAATATCTTCGTAATAACTGTACTTGTAACTTCAAAACCCCGCCATTTTTTCTTTTATGACATATTTTAAAAGGAAATCGTTCTGAGTGTGAAAGTTTTAAAGTAAAATATGGTTGCAAATTCATAATAATAATGGAAATCAAAAAGAGCGATTACGAATTTTGATAATGATAAAAAGAAAAATGTAGTATTTTATAAATATTGTGCTGAGTCAGTAATATCAAATTAAAATCTAGCCAAATATTCGATTTTAAGTCGATTGATTACCCGATGATAAAAACACTTTTTGTTTATGACGAATATATTTTAAATTATACCATAGACAGCAACTATTTCCTTTACAGCGGCCTTTCAATACTTTTAAACTAAGTATTATTACTATTTCTGTCAAATTAAATTTGTTAGTTGATTTAAAATATCGTTATCATAATATAATCTGTACTTCAATATGCATATATGAAAAGTAAAAGTATAATAATATTTAGTAAATTAATCGTTAGTTCCGGGTGCCAACACAACCAAACAATCGGTTGACGTTTCACCGCGTACCAAGTGAAAGTTGTCACGTAGGACGAATTTGTGTCAGAAATTATTTTTGTGCGATATAAATTTATTGGCTGCTAATTGGTACGGTATTGTGTTAACGTTGCCTTAAAATTTTATAAAGTGTTGTGTCTTTGTCAAAGAATGCTGCAATTTATATGGTATTATTGTTTTTCAGTTAAGGTTGTTGCCGGGTAAGATGGGTGTAAAACCTGCAATTGGAAGAAAATCTAACAAGAACCCACCTATTTTTAGCCATGAATTTGTAATCCAGAATCATGCGGATATTGTATCATGTGCGGTTATGGTTTTCTTGGTGGGACTGATGGTACAGGTATGTTCAATGGGTTGCCACGTAAGCCGGGGTCCTGGGCGATGTTTCTTGTTATATTCTTTGTATTTTATGTTTGGTGGTTGATTTACAGTCGACAAGTCCAATAGCTAGCTTGTTCATCAGTCTGCATCACAATGTGAGTGGTGTGGAGCCGACACGAGAAGCGCCAAAGGGCGAACCATTCCTCTATGAAGCTGGGTGGAAGGACTCTTGTGCCGTGTTCTTTTACTCGCTAGTGTGCATTGTTATGCACGCTATCCTTCAAGAGTACTTTTTAGATGTAAGTACATGTGTAATTTTTATTCAATTATAGATTATGTTGCTAACAGCTGTTAAATGGAATAAGTCATGTTTTATAATTTTGTGCCTGTCCATGGTTATAAATCTATTCCTACAGCGATCTTCTTGGTTTTAAGTTTAATATAAATTGAAATTAATTCATGAGTAGTTATTCAATTTTAATTGAAACGAATTGTAACAATCCACCTGGTGTTGTTTTAGTAGATAAAATTGTGATACAATAAAAATGTTACGCTCTAGCCACATAGAGGCGGTGGCGCGTTTCAGTGTGGCAGGGTTCTTATTGTACATTACAAAAGTTTGCATGCCTGGAAAGCTTCCGTGGCCGCCTCTGTATGGCCTGAGCATTAATCATCATTCTATTCAGCTAACAACAATAATCCAAATGTTATTATGTATATGTTTTATGCTAAAAATTCCACACATATTAAAAATCTGGCTTCAAATTAGGGAAATCCCCGAAACAATATGAATATCAATTTGATACTGATAACAATATCACATTGATCTTACTTTGGGCACTATGATAAAAACATACACAGAATTGATTAAAAAATTTTGGTTCCTAAATAGGTTAATTAGAGAATTAAACATGGGACATATAATTCTTAACTGTTAAAACCAAGATAAAATTATATTTTCTATTTGTTTTAAATTCATATTTATATTTCATAGAAAATTTCAAAGAAGTTCCACCTGTCAAAATCCCGGTTGAGTGCACTGAACGAGTCCGGCCAGTTGGTAGTGTTTCACCTTCTCACCTTGCTATGGGGAGGTGACGCTATCCTAAGAGAAGGCTTCATCTTCAATATCTCTCAGCTTTGGGATGGTAAGTAATTTTTGCTTACATATGTTTGCACTACCATTTTTACATTTTTGAAATTGTGGCCATTCTATGCATTTTTGAACTTTTCGTGGGTTCACTTTTTGTGCTAAATTGAACCTAAATTACAATACAGCACAGATTCTCTTTACTTATGATATTTTATCATTTCCAACAATTTTTTTGCTGCATTATTACAGTAGATATCTAGTCATAAACATCTCCAAGAAGAGCTTTATTGTCAGTCTAAGCACCTATACACATATACTCCGTATCTGAATACTACGGATATTCTATTTATGATTATCACTAATTACAAAATACCACCATATAATTTCATTTTCCTGACATTTTGAAATGGTTACACACTTCATGGTAACAAGTTGACTGTATGTTAATATCTTACTTCTTTATTATATTGTATGGTAGAGTTTCGAGGCCTAGCTTTGCTGGAGTATAATCTTTTTGTCTCACTCTCGAATTCATGAGAAGATAGAAGTTGTCTATTATTACTGATAATTATTTAGTGAATATGAAAGCCATAACATCTATATACTGTTTATACATATTTAATGTTTATACAAGTATTATCAAAATGTTCATGTGGTTAAATTGGTTTTATAATCAGTGGTTGCATAAGTAATTTATCAGTAAAATTGACTTAATACAGATTTTGTGTTACTATTAATTATGTGTTGCAATCATATCCCCATTTATAAAGTACATTGCAAAATAAATTGGGAAGTAATTAACAGCTGATTAGCTGTTACTTAATTCTGTGTTGTTAGATGTTAAGTATTTCTATCAGAACTATGGAATATTATATTAGGTTTTTGTACTAAATGTAGACTTATTTCTAAATTTCGTTTATTAACAATGTCTATTAATAACTTAAACAACATAAAATATGTAATAAAATAGGTGTGTGACATTTCGTGAAGTGACTTATTTAACTAATTGTAGTGTACTTTCATGTTTTTGTAGATTTACTTCTATAGTAACCTGTGTAATATATGCATGTAACAAAAAGCAGTGGTATTGTAAGTACATCATGTAATAATGCTATGTATGAAAATATCATGAAATCGTGAAATAATCAAGAGCATGAAAACTACACTATATCGGTATATTTAAAATTTCACATCCTTGCTGGCTGCCTCGGCTCCTCGACATTATAAGTCTTTTTGACATCGAAATATGTCTCATTTGTATCATATGTGAATATTGAAAGAAAGTATAAAGAATATTGTTTTCTTTTTGATCAGAATACCCCAATCACCCAATGAGCTTTCTGCTAAAATTATGGTGGATCGTACAAGCTGCGTACTGGATTCACACCGTTCCTGAGTTGTACTTCCAACGCGTTAAGAAAGACGAGTGGGCCGGCCGCATCAGACACGCCGCCGGCGCTTTCGCATTTGTTTTTGCTGCCTATTTCTTGAAGTAAGTATAACTTTATATTAAAACATTAACACAACAACAGCTTAATGCAATAATAACAACACTTACTACATAACTTTTTTAAGACCCGTTAGTTTTTCCTGTGTTGCTGTACACTAGGTGTCAGGTGAGCAACTTGATATCAATAATAAATTTGGTTTTGTTTTTATTTACAGATTTACTTTACCTGCTTGTTATCCAAAGATTGCATGTAAAGCAATAAGACTGCTGTTGTACTTTCCAATAACTTAAGTTCAAGTGATCATTGCTATGTGCACTAATTTAGAAATCACTTAATTCATTCATTATAGTTTCTTATCTATTCGTTTTGAGATATATAGTTGTAGATATATTAGGTGTAAATTTTGAGTTAGGTACTTAATAATAAAGTTTGTTACAGATTCCAAAGAGTGGGAGTTTGCTTGGTAGTGCTCCATTCTCTGGCAGAGTTCGTAACTCACTGCTACCGCCTCACCACGACTCTGAGAGTTGAGCGGGAGGACTTCATTGAGAAACGTGAGTATAATTTCAAGCGCGTAAAATATGCGAATACCTGAAATGCTTTAGTCAACATAGTAATTAGCAGACATTAAATTATGCGGGAGACCTTTTGAAAAAGCACTTTGCTTGTCGAAACCTTTAATAGCATTAAGATATAGCAAAATAAGAGTTGCTTTGTGGAAAAAAATTCTATAAATATTACTTGTTACTAAAACGAAAATGTCGAAATTTTCTCCACATTGCTAGTACAAAAAGCTAACCATATTTATGGCTAATCTGTATTTATTTACATGTTGAAAATCAACAACTATATAACAAAATTAAGCATCTGATATAGAAACGTACATGATATGTATACATATTATTGTGTATCATTTGAAATGCATAAAATGGATTAAAAAAACGTATGTGACACCAGCCATATATGCCAATTAGTGCCAAATACGGTGAATTAATCTTACGCCCTAGATCCCCACATTGTCGTTCGCAGCAGTCTAATATACAAATTTATAAAACAAAAATAATAATAATTTTTGCCAATGTCGTTAGGGACAGCGTGTCTGTCTATGTGTGAATTTTGGATTAAAAGTGAAATTCGTTTTGTTTCGTATGTTTTTTAATTTTATTTTGTTAGTTTAAAACTTACTCTATTATAGAACATGTGCAAACATGTATTTTTTTTCGTGCAGTGCTCGGTTTGGTGAACGGCACAGTGTTCGTGGGTGTGCGGTTGTGCTCGCTGGTGCTAGGTGTGCTGACGTTCTATTTCGGTCTTGCCGGCGCCGCGCCACTACTGCTGCGTGTCGCTGCACTCTCCGTGCTTGTCTCCTTCCAGGTTTGTCCCTGCACTATTTTCTGACAAATGTGCGATGGCTGAGATTGATCAATAAAACTTTGTTTTATATACAATAAGAATATATAAATTTACCATGGAGTTTGTTAAAAACGAAAAACCGTTCATATTGAGGTACACACATAATGTTTGATATTTTAAGTTATATGAAACTTTGTATCTCACTCAACCTTCATCGTCGAATCTAGACAGTTCAAAGTATCTAATATGGACCGATTGTAATAGACGGTATTTGTTCACAGGTGTATCTAATGTTCAACTTCATTTCTGAAGTGATCAACAAACGCCAAGGGTCCCGCCAGCAGGCGCAGAGCAAACCCAAGAAGGAGAAGAAAGAAAAATCCAAGAAAGAGAAAGGTATGCCTGTTGTATTATATTGAAACTGTATAAAATTTTGTTTATCTTATCTGTCCATGTTTATGATAAAATATATGGTTAATACTACTATAAATGTATATACGTATGGTTAGGTATCAACCTAATTTATTATAATTATTAATACAAAGATAAAGAACACTTAGAAAAAAATCCTTCGCTCCGGTCGGATTAGAACCGACGTCTCCAAGCAAACCGTGCCAGACGCTGTGCCAACTAAGCATAGCGTCTGTACTACATAGCTTGCTGTCACAGAAGGCGCTACGGCTAAAAAGTCGTTGAAAACCAAATACTAAGATCGGCAATAAGCACAGAAAAATTCGTGACGTCCGCTGGTTCGTCACGTTGCTTTTGCTAGGAGACGACCGTTCGAATCCGGCCGGATCGAAGGATTTTTTTCTAAGTGTTCGATCTTTGTATTAATAATTATAACAAACTAGTGGACTAATTTGATAAAAAATAATTGAATATCATGGCGGTGAAACATTTTGACATTCAATAAAAATTTAATTTAATTTATGTCATGTTTTGTGTCCAGTAAAGAAAGACAAGGCGCTCGTAGAAGAGTCGGATCTGCCAGAAGTGGACCAGAACACAAACAAGACAATGCGACAACGGCAGCCCTCCGCTAAAGCCAAGTGAGGGCGGCCTAAAGACCTCTACATACGCTCATTTGACAAACTCACTTCATAGGACTTTAACCCAACGTAAAGGAGTCGTTCCACTATAATCACTTCGGTTCATGTCAATCAGTGTTAGTCTTAATGTTGTTTATTAAAGCACAAACATTACTATACGCAGACTGTTCGACAGCATTTACGTACAGCGGAATCGAACATTTCCGTTATATTACCTTATACATGTGTATCTTAAGTGTAGGTAGGGATATTTCAAATTTACGAATATCTCTGTAAGTACTTGATATTTGGTCTACCGTAGCCGTGTCGTATATTATTAAATGTATTGTATTATGTATAAATGACTGTGTCGAAATATTTTGTAAAACCTACACCCGTTTAGACTGCGAACACGCTATTGTCGTTAAAAGTATAGTGGATACAGGGTTGTAAAAATATCTCCTAAAGTGTAAAAAAACTGTAGGGTAAAGTGTTGTTTATATGGTATATTAATAAGGACCTCTAAGTACTGTGTGTTCATACACATTAAACGATGAAAATTCCATTTTATTTTTTGCATTTTAATAAAATATAATCGTCGCGTATCGTCACTAAATTATAATCGATTCCAAAAGATTAAGTTTATTTTTATGATACGTTTTAATATTTGACAGTTTCTATTTTTGTAATGTGTTTTTAATAGATTAACGTTCTAAATCGGTGCTGTCCAGGAATTATTATTATTTAATGTAATTTATTCACTGTATAGTTCTCTGTTGTTGTTGTTCAGGAAGCGGATTAACCGAGAATAAGATTCAATCAATAATTGTTATTATTAAATTATGCGAAATTAAGTTGACGAAATAAATTATTCCTAAATGTGAAAATGTGCTGATAAATTATAATTTTCATGAGAATTGTCAATTTTAAAAAGCTTGATGTTCTTTTATTTTAGAGTAAAAATGAATACAAAAATTTTTGTAAGAAAGCGTTTTGGTTTTTTATTTAGATTGCATTGTCCCTTTTTGCACGAATGAACGAAGGTTGACGTAGCTTACTACACACATCAAAAGTGTCTAGGGATCAAGTACGTTTAAGAGTATTGCTGCAATTAGGGTTAATTATATTAACTTTTTTGTATCGCTATTGATACTTTTTAGTGAGTTTTAACATTTAAATAAGGAATATTGTTTAAAATTCGATAATAAGAAGAAAATCGATTGTCAATGTGGTTTTGTATAAAAATGAGTTATAGCGTTTTGACAAAATCATTACAATATCTGCATCGGAACCGAAACAATTTACATTATTATGAAGAGACGACATCATTTAACCCGAGAAGTGATGATGCGAGCCGTCGGAATGTTGGAAGCTGGTTCCAGGCAACGTGCTGTGGCTTTCACTCTTAACACTACACAGAGCGTCATAAGTCGCCTCTGGACGCGCTATCGCATGACGGGCGGCGTGGCCGAGCGACATGGAGGACGATCTCGCATCACGACTCGCAGACAGGACCGGTATATCCAAAATACTGCTCGACGGAATCGTACCATGACCGCCATGATGTTGGTTACGAGTCTCCACAGCTCCTCAGGCTTGCTAATAACCGATTAAACAATCCGAAATCGTTTACGTGAAGTGGGTCTGCGATTCCGAAGGCCGCACTGAGTTCCACCTATTGCACCCTGCAATCGCAGGACCCGTTTACGATGGGCTCGCGAACACAGAAACTGGGAGGATGAAGACTGGCGCAATGTGTGCTTTTCGGATGTATCCCGCTTCGGTATGAGACCGGATACAAGACGTACTCGAGTTTGGAGAACATCTGGACGTCATGAACGTTTGAGATATTGTCAGGAAGTTCATTCATATGGTGGGGGAACAATAATGATATGGGCCGGTATTTGGATCGGCGGAAGAACCGATCTCATTTGGATCAGGGGTAACCTCAATGCTCAAGTTTACGCAGAGAGGATTGTTTCAGATGTTATCATCCCTTTGCGAGGCCAGTTGGGTGATTCATTTCAACTAATGCATGACAACGCACGTCCACACACGGCTAGAGTCGTAACACGCATTCTTGCCGAAGCTCGTATCAACATTCTGCCGTGGCCTGCTCAATCGCCAGACCTCAATCCAATTGAGCACGCATGGGATATGCTTCAAAGAAGAGCTGTGCCGAGTATGCATACCGTACATACTCTACAACAATATTTTGACTTGTTACAAAAGACATGGGCGGCCATTCCTCAAAGTGATTTTAATGAACTCATCTTAAGCATGCCAAATCGCTGTAATTGTGTGATTCGTGTTAATGGTGGAAATACAGATTATTGATTTTCTTATCTTTACAATAAAAATGAGCAAAATCATCATTTTCGCCATTTTTTTGTCATTTAATTGACGGCTAATTTGAGTTTTTTCCCACAATTTGCAAAAACATCAATTTTAGTTTATTTTAATTAAATATAGGGGTAAGCGGTTAAATAAAACATAAGCATTAAAGTAAGAAGTCGTCCTGGAAGACTGGATTTGGTAAATATTGCTTAAATAATTTTTATTTCAAAAATATTCACTTGATCCCTAGACACTTTTGATGTGTGTATTTTGGCTGAAAAATTACAACTTCAGTTCGATTCAAAAGTGGTGTTCAATGTTGTGACGTGAATAATTTGTAAATTATATCCATCGATTTTGTACAAAAGGGTCAAAATAGTCTTATTATCGTAATCTATTTTGTTGTGAATATTTTTATACCCAAAGAATTATTGACTTTTTATAACATTCTGCATAATTAATATAATTCAAAAAACTTTATAGGTAAGCCTGTACAACTAGTAGTCACCATACTTATCGCATTATACCGGGCACAAGCTTTATGTTCCTATAATAAAGTGCAGGCCACACCGCGAACGAAGCTAATTTAGCTCACGTAACCGAGCTAATTAAACTAACCCAACGATCTCGCTAAGGTATATAAAATAAGCGACTCCTTTCCCCTTCATCCCCACGCATATCCATAGTGTAGCACGTCACTACTTCGTATTTCTTTTTTCCTTTGCTTAGCCATGCGTGCGACTACATGAGCTAAGTTAGCTTAGCGTCGATCGTTCACGGTATGGCCTGCGCTTAAGAGCGAAAAAGATGTGCGTTTTGCGTCGGCGGCTGTCCGAACGGAAGTCTTTTCTGTCCGGCTCAAGCCGATTCGGCGATAATAACTGGTTACTCCCTTAGAATTCTCAAGCTATTACGAAAATCTAATCGTTAATTTCGATGAAATTATTTTAGCTCGACGTAACCAAACTAAAATAGATCCATCTTTTTTACTTTTATTAGATCGAGCTGTATTTAGAATGTGATATTTTTTTTAATAATACTGCATTTAATTGGTTAACATCATCGGTTAACAAAATCACGTGGCTATAGGGACGTGGGAATATACGACTTTTGATAATCACGTATTTTGGTAGTTGATACGATCATACTGGTGTCGACGCTGCTGATTCGCCGTAGCCAAACTTCCTACAGACGCGATCAGAAATTCGCTTAAAGCAAATTCGTTGCCGACATGTTTCAAGCGCCACCGTGTGAGCTGATACGAAACGCACAAGTCTTTGTGGACATGGACTGACTTTTTCTGACCGACCCAATGCGACTCCTTGTCGATAAATGTGGTGATTCCACTTGTGTGCCAGATCGCATTAAGTCGGTGACTCCCTTATGTGCTAGATCACGTCGATTTTTCTGTCCGGCTCAAGCCGATTCGGCGATAATAACTGGTGACTCCCTTAGAATTCTCAAGCTATTACGAAAATCTAATCGTTAATTTCGATGAAATTATTTTAGCTCGACGTAATCAAACTAAAATAGATCCATCTTTTTTACTTTTATTAGATCGAGCTGTATTTAGAATGTGGTATTTTTTTTAATAATACTGCATTTAATTGGTTAACGTCATCGGTTAACAAAATCACGTGGCTATAGGGACGTGGGACTATACGACTTTTGATAATCACGTATTTTGGTGGTTGATACGATCATACTGGTGTCGACGCTGCTGATTCGCCGTAGTTAAACTTCCTACAGACGCGATCAGAAATTCGCTTGAAGCAAATTCGTTGCCGATATGTTTCAAGCGCCATCGTGCGAGCTGATACGAAACGCACAAGTGTTTGTTGACATGGACTGACTTTTTCTGACCGACCCAATGCGACTCCTTTTCGATAAGTGTGGTGATTCCACTTGTGTGCCAGATCGCGTTAAGTCGGTGACTTATATGCTATGATCACGTCGATTTTTCTGACCGGCTCAAGAAGAGTCCGCGATAGAGACTAGAGTCTTTCGAGCGTCAGCGCCTTGCCAACGCACGCACAGCGTCGACACGACGTCCGCGTGGCGGCGACGCAACGTAGTGTACCTAAGTAATTTGTGGACGCAACGCAGTGGTCGGGTATACGCCGCGCTGGCGTTGCGTCGCGGTCGTGCGGACTTCGTGTCAATATAAAGGAGCCCCACCGGTGCGGATTTTTACTGGGGATTTGTGGAACATACTGTCGTGTCGATGCTGTGCGTGTGTTGGCAAGTCGCTGACACTCGAAAGACGCTGGCGTGGGGTTCTCTTAATGAGTGTGGTGACTTCCTTGGATTTTTTTAAATCTATCGTCTTGTTATATAATGCCCTCAGGTTTTAGAAGCCATCAACATAAATGAATACTGAAGCTCGCGACTTCGTCTGCCTAGAATAAGCACTTCCAGTAGCCTACTGTTCTATTTTCATAGTTTTGTTGGTTCACCATACAAACTGTCATCGCCAATTACACCTCCTTTAAGATTTATTTTTGTAAGAAAAAGTAGCTAATGTCCTTCTCCTAAGTCCCATCCGTCTCTATACCAAAATTCATCAAAATTGGTTCAGCAGTTTAGGCGTGAAAACGTAACAGAGTTGTTTACACATTTACAATGTTAGTTTAGATTTGCAAGTCGTGAAGAATAGTCCCAACACTATTCGTTTTTCAAACATATTGTTTTAAATATTATAAGGTAAATATATATTAAGAATAAGCATATGACTTGTAATTACGTGAAACCCGAAGTGTTATTTGATAGTAATTCATTTTCAAACAATGGCAAATTAGCTGCAAAATACAAGTTACGGGAAAGTATGAATTATGTTTGTGACAAGTATATTTTATTTTATAGCCCTTTGTGCTCGTTTTATTAACTTCTACAGTTATGTAAAGTTCTAAGAATTTAAATACCTGCCAATGGTCTTACTGCGAGATTTACAACAAAGATTTTATATTTACTTAGGTATAAATAAAAACTTAATAACTTAAATAAAAAAAAAAAAAAACTTTGGTTATGTATGTTTGACCCACAAAACTAAAGAAAATATAATATGTAACTTTTACATTTATTATGTATTTTATATTATACATACGTGGTCTAGGTATATATTAGTTAACAACAATTAACTTTAGTTAAGTTCCAAATTCAGTGTCAGTTTGAGTTACACAGTCTTAGAGGGTGGAAAAAATTGGTTTCCTTTATCTAATTACACAGTGCATCCCTTACTGTCAAAACGACATTCATATAAAACTACCATCGAAAAACCGTGTCCATAGCAATTTGGCAACAAATTACTTATTATTTTTCGATCACCATTCAATTTGATGATGATAGCTTTACTTAGACACCGTTATATCTGACGTCGAGATGCGCTTGCGTTGCAAACCGATATGTGTATAAAAGCTGTGGTAGTGTGCGCTGAAGCCAGTTCTTTCCTTGACTTTGTGGAGGCTGGACGTGGGAAAATGCAGGCTGTCACACTAATTCTCTTGGCCGTCATGGTGTCCGTGGCCCTGGCAGGTTAGTGCCCCTATTGTTTGCCGCCAAACATGCCTCTTACTTTGCTTCTTTTTACTTTTTGAGTATTCCTAAAAGCAATCGACAGTATATTTAAGTACTTTGCGATTTTCAAGTCTTCCTTTTTTGACTAAGAATGTATACTTTTTGTTTAGTGTTGTTTTTAAATCGTTGTGTTTTATTAGCAATAATACTTACTTATTAATGTATAACTCAATTATTTTTAAGGATTGTGTCTTACTTTTGAAACAACTCATTTCTTCAATCGATCGATAATTAAGTGAAAACCGTCGTCTAATCCCGTGCGTACCCATTTAAGCAAATCGTTGATCCAATTAAAATCACCTAACTAGACCAAAACCACCATAGATATTATAATTATTTACATGCTTCTATAACTCATATCCTTAACACTTTAAGAATGTGCGCAATGTTTGAACTTAATATTTTGAATAAGTAATGAAATACTCATTCCTAATATAATAATTTTTTTTCATCCATAAGTTGAATTTGGTTGAAAAATGTTTTTTCAATAAATTCGTTTAGGTTCTAAAGTATTAGTCTTTTGGATAAAAATTAATTAATTAACTATACTTCTATTCATACATTATGATTTCATCAAAGCATCATCGGTTCATAAACTCAAAATTGCGCCAGTCACGACTTCCTGAGGCCGTCGATTTTAAACTTTAAGCGGATCGTAAGTGAGTTCAATAAAAACAACCGCTTATTAGTGATGATCTCAACCTTGATAACTGACTAATGTTTCCTTGAAAGTCGGGTTTATTTTGTTCTTTTTGTAAAGAGATACTGATATTCGTGATCTGACGTTAATTTATACCAATAATTGTTGGACACACATTAGGTATATTTTATGTTATTCTAATAACATGCAATCATAAATTAATATCATTTAAGATAAATTAATTCCTCTATTGAGTAAACTAACAGTAGCGCAGGACTCGGACTTGCGACCACAGGATACCGTCCTATAGCTCCTCCAACTGAGCTGTTAGACCTTTGTATTAATTTTTTTCTGCTTTCGACGCCGTTGTGGAGCAGACGCAGTGGAGTTATTTCACAAAAAAATCAATATAGCGGTGATTAAACATCGTGAAATTCAATAAAAAAAATCAATTACCCACTCTAACAGTATTTTCTGTTGTAAAGTATGGAAGGAAAGTAATAAGGAAAAGTTGACTGTGGAACAACTGTTGTTCTTCAATAGACGACACTTTGATACTTGGCGTAAAAATAAATAAGCCATTTTTTTACATAAATGACATTATCTGCTTTTTAGGAGGTCAGTACTACGTGCCGCGCGCGTACTACACGATCGACGCAGAGGGCCACGCGTCACTGCCGGTGCCGCTGCGCAGGTTGCGCCGCAGTCCTTCATACAACCCGTATCCTCCTAATTATCCTGGAGCGAGTGCTAACGCCAACGCCAATGCCAATGCCGAGGCTTATGGCGGTAAGTATAATATAATGATTGAATTATTATCGTGTATATGCCAATTTTCGAAGAAGGAAAACATTGTGAAGGTGCACAACCCTCGGAAAACGTACGAGTAGCCAACTCTCGCCTAAGAGGAGACCCGTGCCCAGCAGTGGGACGGTGGGACGACGATAAATGGGTTGATGATGATGATATGCTAATTGCTAAAGTTAACAGTGTCCTACTGATTTATTGCTAAAACAACTTGTAGCATTGGCAATTGGCAAAAGCAAAAATGTCATTCCTAGCATTAGCTTCAATTAAAATACTTAGAATTAAAATTATAAGTCTTATTATTATAATTAATAATATATATATATAATAAAATATACATTATAATTATACACATACGAGTAGTAACATAAAACGAAAAGTCCATCTCTGTACTTAGCCTGAAAGTTACGAATTTGTGTTCCGTTGTTGGTTGGGTTCTCCAAGGAAAGGTCAGTTCACTATTCACAAATGAGTTCGATGTTAAATACGACAGTAGTTTTAAGCACGTAAGCCTCGACTTTGTTAATTAAAACATAAAAACAAAATAAATGGTGTAATTTCTAATCCTACTCAGATAAAACTTTCAATTTTATGGTTCCATAGGTTTGTTTTCAGGTATGTTGCTATAAAATTCGCGTTAAATATCATGTGCTATAATGATATAGGTTCGATAGAATCTCGTAAAGTTAATCTTTTCTGCGATAATAAAATAGCTTATTTATTTGCATTTCGTTGAGATCACCATTCGTTACCTTATACGTCGATAAAACATAATGGTTAATAGTTCCTCGAGTGGAAGTTGAATGTTTTATTTAATGCTGTTTTCATTTACGTGAACGCATTCACACTTAACTTATAAAGAAATATTGCTATGGGTAATAATCATTTGGCTGTAGGTAGTACCTACATACTTTTAAAAGATAGATTTATATTTTTAAATTTTAGTTTTGTTTAAACTTTATAAACCTTTCACTGTTTCGAAATGTGTGATTATTTACATAAATGTATTATCAGTCAGTATCGGTATAAACATTTGATCATTGGAAGAAAAACCAAGGCTGTGCTTTGCTTTGCTTTTTTTAAAATCTTTATTTATTTAGGGGCTTTGATCGTTATTGAACATGTCAGCCCCATTAGAAAAACAATACCTCAAGAAAACACTTATGAAATCCAGACAGATAAATAAAAATACTACTAACCAAGCATGTATACAAAATCTTCGCGGCACTACATGTTGACTCCGACAAAACAGATTGAAACCACCCAACATTAAATTTACATTAAACCAGCCTCTGCAAATAACTGAGCCCTGATAGGTTCCGTCCGAACACATTCTATGAGCAAATGATGTGTGAGTGATTCGGTGAGTTCACCCTCCGCATCAGATACAAAAATTTGTTTAAAGGTTGTTTTTTTTTATCTAATTATCAACTTACTTTTTAAAAAACTCTCGTAAAATATCTTAATCTTCGAATGATTACACTGCATCCGCATCGGGAACGAGTAGGCAATAAAATCAACGGTCGTAATTCCGAAGAATATCCGTCGGTCACGACGGTATGTCAATACCAACAGTTTATAGTTGAATTAAGCCCGCATCTGCTCAATACGGGTAATTATACAGTCACGACTTTTATTTTCTGTATTTAAAGAAACTTCAACATATACAATTTACTTTTTAGTTTTTTTACTTACAATTGAGGATGTCTTGAAACTAAGATTCGATCTTTTAATACTCGTTCGTCGTACAATTCGTTGTACCTTATCTAGAAACTACTTAAAGTAACTAAGTTTATTGAATGTCAGGAACTTTCACCACCATGATACTCAATTATTTTTTTGGGAAATTACTTCATTAGTTTGTTATAATTGTTATACAAAATCGAACACTTAAAAAAATGTTTTTGGTAGCAGTAGAGCTCCTTGTGAAAGAGTTCGTCCAGGGAATTACTGCCGCCTTACCTATTTCCGCCACCAAGCAGTTTTGTGAACATTACTGCGTTCCGGTTTTGAAGGATAAGGGTGTTAGTGAACCCAGCTGGATTCGAAGGAATTGTTAGACTGTAGGACGTTGGTTCGAATAATCGAATCCAGCCAGGTTAAAGGATTATTTTCTGTCTTCGATCTTTATTGTATTAATAACTACTCAAAGTTCTTAAGTCTTAATAACATCGATCTCAGTAACTAGGTACAATAAACCTAGTACAAAATTAATTTTTGTGTTGTTATAGCTTCAAGACAACACAATTAATACTGTTTTTTATAACAGTAAGAAACATATTAATAGAAACATAGAACTTCACACGTACTTATTACTGCTAGGAAACTCCAACTCTAAGAGGTGCAAACCGTTTTCAATTCTCATATACAGAATAGAAATATGACGGTATGGGAACATAAACTGCCGCTGGAATGCAACGAGAGCGTTAGTCACGGCAAATATGTAGAGCACCCTAACAGTTAGTTGTGAACGTGTGTCGGTTTTAATTTGGTACAGTCTACAATACTTTATTTATATTACGATCGCTCAAAACAATGTGAATTTGTATCTTATAGTAACAGAACAAATAGCGAACAAATAGAATTTGGAAAAGTCTCAGAATTAAAATTGTCTTCTAGAATCACGAAGGTCAATTCTCATTGTTAAACATTTGCCTTTTAGCAATTAAAATACTCTTTTACTGTAAAATAAGCTCATAGTCTCCTGGCATGTTTTGTTGAATTTGTATTTCTTAATGGCGAATAACCGATTTTTTGCGTGGTCGAAATGCGAAAAAAACTTTTATTATGGGTCTCACTTCAATTTAAGTTAACAACAAAAACGAATAATAAAGAAATATCAGACAACATTACTTATCGACTGTAAACTGGCAACCGGTACTTTCTCAATTTTGACAACTTTACAGGTGAAGAAAAATCATTTATTAAATAAAAATACGTAGTGTATATACATACATGTGTAATAAAAATATCTAAAAACTACGTATATTCATTTAATAACCAGATACTATATAAATGACGCAAACAATTTTTTTCTTCATCCTGTTAAGTTGTCAAAATTGTGTTTTGCCAGTTCACAGTCGATATGTTACTCCGATCCCAAAGTAAATAACTAAAGCACTTGTGTTCTGGAAATCAGAAACAACGATGGTACCACGAACACCCAGACCCGAGACAATGTAGAAAAGTTTCTACTTGACCCGGCCGGGGATCGAACCCGAGACCTCAGAGATGGCGGCGGCAGAAAGGAGTTTTGTTGCTAACCGTTCAACCGTCGCAAGCGTTGATCGTCTAACGGTTTCCAAAACTTACGCGCTGGTCAGGCGCAAGCGCCGCAAAAAACTGCCCGACAGATATCACTTCAATGTAAAAGTAGAGCTCAAGTTATTGACATGATTGACTTTGGTAGGCGTGTACCGTAATCTATACGGTACTGGGATATTAATACTCTCGTAATTACTTATGCGTTTGTGAACCTCGTTTGTAGCCGTTTAGTCTTGGTGCAATTTTAAATTTCTCTAGAATGTATAAGTGTTGATAACAATTTCGCATAATTTGCCAATGTTTAAAATTTTTATCATTTTTCCATAGTAAATAGCTGTGGACAATATTGGAATGTTACTGTGTTTTACACTAAACCATTTTACACTAAAATTGAGGTACGAAAGAAAAGATAGTCAGGTGGATGACTTTGTTAAGGTAAGCAACAGTATTTGAAACATTTAAATAATTTGCTTTTGTTCACATTACAGGGGGCGGCGCCAGCGCGATCGCGAACGCGAATGCCCACGCACGCGCAGAGAGTAGTAACGGCGGCTGGGGGTTACCCATCGGGGCTGGGTACGGCGCTTCTGCTCCGATAAGGTACTAATGACTGTAATATTATTTAATCAACGTGAACTTCTCACTGCATGCAGCAACAGCGAGTCCTATAGTTAATTCGAGTTTTGTAAAACGTTACTGATTTCCTTTAAAATATTAATGATTACGATTTTAGTTTTCCAATCAATAATTTACCTTTATTGGTTTCAATCGCTAACCACCAAGCGCACGACTTGTTCGCCCCGTTACTTGGTTTAAAAAAGTAAAGTTGCTTAGTTTAAGCTTAAAGCTTAAACTAAGCAACAGTCACAGAGTACTAAAAAACCGGCCCCATAAGTCATTCATCCCCTTGTTTGTTGCATTTGGATGTGGAATATTTTCTTCAAATGTAAATAGGACCTCTACCGAGGTACCCTCTTTCCAACAAAAAAAGAATCATCAAAATTCATTCACAAATATCGGAGTTATCGCGTAACATACAAAAAAAGAGAGAAAAATACAGTCGAATTGAGAACCTCCTCCTTTTTTTTTGAAGTCGATTAAAGGCTCAAATTTTTTTGTTGTTGGTATATTTGCACAAATCGCACTGTTAATACAATAGTGTATTAACTCAAAAAGTGTACTTTTTCAGAATCGATTAAAAACAAATTACTCACTTCTCGTGAAAGATTATTAAAATTTTATGTGTAAGTTAAAGTTTATTACAGACTTTTAAACAATTTCATATTCGTCAAATATATTTGAAAATGACAGGTAAATTAAATGCCATATTTTTGAGAAAGGGCTGTTTTATTCAGAACTAGCTCACGAATTTCACGAGTTAAGTTAAGATATCTTTTAATTATTTCTCAAAGTATTCTAACGACGGTAGTATTGACGTGTAGAGATTCAAATTTTACGTTCAGCTATAGCATATCTTTAATTTCACATATTTTGAGTTAGAACACTATTGTAATAGTAGTGCGAAAGTAGTGCGAAATGAAACTAAGGGTCGTATTCTAGAACTCTACTCAATGCTCAAGTCAGGACTTGAGTATTGCAGTGAGCACTGAAAATCATACTCAAGTCCTTGCCATTAGGGTCGTATTTCCAGAGTTTGAAATCATACTCTAGTCTGCTCAAATCCTGACTTGAGCATTGAGTAGAGTTCTGGAATACGACCCTTATAGTGCTTTCATAACGCTTAGACACATTCATGCAAAAACGGATGAATGAAATTTGTACGTGCAGCCATTCGCAAACCTGGATTTCATTTCAAAGACACGATTGCACATAATTATTTTTCATAATATGTACCTATACATTGGCCTATAATGACAATAACGGAATATGAAGGGAACGTCACCGTAATTACGTTTGGTAGAACAAGGCTTGTTGATCGTTGCAGTAGATTAAAAATGCTGATCTGATATTGAGTTAAGAACATAAACGGTGTAACCGGCATCATTTACTTGTTAAAGAACAACTCAACAAGATTGTTTTGACTCAGGTTTAGAATCTCATGAAAAAAACATATGATTCTACTAGGTGCTAGAATTTATAGTTGCCTATTTAAATGAAATCAATCTCCGTAGTCAATAAAATCTTCCTATGACTAGAGTACTTACTTGTAGAAAACTTATATTTTTGTATACATAAATATATATGTATATACTATTTCATTTATTATTTAAACCTTGCGATTCTGCTACGTTGTAATAAATTTTTACTTATTTATGTATATGAACAACTTTAATATCTAAAAAAATTTTCTTATTCACGTTTAGAGACTTATATATACCTAGGGTGAAGGTACGTCCTCTTTGACGGTTTTGTTCAGAAATTAAACGGTCGATGAGAACTTTTGACTGATGAAAAGTATTATGTGATTATTATCTTCGCGAAAGTCATTATACTTGTTTGTTTTTCTAGTCGCTTTAATTGTCCTTTGGCTCTACCAGGCTGTTCCTTGAATCCTAAGTATATACTCTTAATCACGTGTACGATTCTGTTTAATTTCTTATGTGAACATCCAAGTATTTTTATATAGTCAAAAATATATTAAGCTTGATATTTTGGACTTTGTAACAAACGGCGTAGATTTGACTTTAAATTTTAAAAGTCATGCTTGATGTACTCTCGACTCCATATAATACACAACAATTTCCAGCACAAAGGGCTGGCAGCCTAAATATGACTATAGTTATACTCAGGGAAAACGCTATCACCATTTTGGACACCATGCCACGGGAATCAATGTCATCCATTTAATTTTACCCCAGTACTAGTATAGTAGTATCTGTAAGATATCCCTATAACATTTGTTATTAATTTTTTAATAAGCTATGGAATAAATAATGTTTCAACTTCGATTTCTTGTAGAACAAAAGTGGTTCCGTAACTAACATGGTATTATTTTTGTCCATAGGAATTAACCAGCAACGACATGCACTAACAGGGTGTGGTATTGGTCGGTCCATCGCATTTTCCATCAGTTGCTCATTATGGCTGCGTGTGAGGCGCTTTCTGCGCTCCCCGCGGCCGCCCATTCTCGAGCAACTGCCGGAAGATACTACATATTTATTGTAATTAATTCTTAGATAATAAATGTGATTAAATAATTTGTGTTTTTGTTTCACGAACTCATGCTGAAATTATATCCATACATATTTTTGATTACTTGTTCATGGCTTTAACTGCGTAAATAAATAAATAAATAATAAGCAATAATAATTTATTTTCAGACAACATAGTCCATATAAGTCAGTAAGTTAGTAACATAAAACACCTTATAACTATGTTAGTATTAGGATTATTAGTACGGTACAGTCATTCTATAGGCTGACAAATTACATATAAGTACATCAAACAGGATGAACCAGCCCTCTCGGCGGCTCCCTGACTCACACGAAAAATATATAACTCAGTGAACCTCCGGAATCTGCTTTATCCGTCCTGTCCGCTATCATCTTCAGGATCTCGTTGCTGCCCCTCACTCTTCGTACTATTGATGTGGACATTTTCGCATGATGGCATAGAAATCGTCCACAGCAGCATCTGCGAACATTTCAGGTGCACTGCAGAAACGGGGGAGCCTCAACAAGGCCCTGAAGGTGTTATTATATTGGACTCGCAAGGCACTGTACAATCCCAGTGTAAAGTTGGACTATACAGCACATATGTAGAAGCTCTGGCAGTATATTGAAGAGCGTTACCTTCACTCCTGTCGTAAACCAAAGGCTCGCAGAAAGTGATTAACGTAAACTAGCTCGATATCGCTGGAAGATTACGAGGATCATATCGATATTAAATAGCAGTCGTGATAAATCTCAACATCACTATATTCTTTCTGACAAAGAAAAGACTTTAACGAGTATCAGATTATAATGTGACCAATGAGTAGTTCGTTGATGTCTTCAATTTACATATTGGATTTAGAAATTTAATTATCACTTTGTACGGATGCTTATTTCAGCTTTGAAGTTGCTATATAGTCTTTCAGAATCTCGTGCTGTCACCTTTTAAGTAAATAAATATTGTATAACGCACACACTCAAAACGCCTCACTAGGGAAACCCTGTGTCGTGGGTGTCATGGGCACACACACACACATAGACAACTGCAAATTACACCCAAACTCAAGAGAGAAATAAATGTAGGCCCTACAAATATTTCTCCCGGCCCGGGAATCGAACATGGGCCCTCTGCGGCAGTCCGGCATGGCAACCGTTCGGCCACAGAGGCAGTTAAGGTATGCTATGTAGTACAGATAACATGCTTAGTTGGCATAGCGTCTGACACAGTTTGCTAGGAGAAGTAAAACCTACTATCGCACTACATCCTGTAAAATATTTTGAGTACACCTGTAAAATATTTAGAGAACTGGGTCTCAAGAAGCAGCCTTGTGGCACATCTCTCATTGATATTTAAGTAAAGTACAAGTCTTAACAAAACTACTACGGAAAAGTCAAGATAAAGTTGTTGAAAAAAATCAATCTATGTAGATAAAATTAATGTATGTGTTTATATACGTTTGATTGTCCCGTATAAATTATATTTTATTCATCTGATTACAATACAACTTTCGTCAGGCATACATGTAATCTGGTTCCGATAAAAATTTCGTGAATTTTGCGCTCACGCCCGTAAAGGTTTCTGTAGTACTAAATCCCGGCGCTGGGCACGGATCGTCACTAAGGAGATGGTTAAGTCAAAGTTCACGCATACCCTGTGACGCCACACGTTTTAGGGACAGTGGTATTGAAGATGTCGCTGTCGCATCTCTGAGGTTCCGGGTTCGATCCCCGGCCGAGTGAATGTAGAAAAGCTAACTTTTTTATATTGTCTCGGGTCTCGATGTTTGTGATGCCGTCGGTGTTTATGATTTCCAAAACACAAGTGCTTTAGTTAACTTCTACTTAGTTTGGGATCAGAGCAACTATGTGATGTTGTCTAATATTATATTTGACTTGGAAAGTTGAAATTTATCGCCGATGCTACACAAAATGTGTGGAAAGAGGAAAGGTTTTTTCTGCCTGTATTTGCACTAATCTAAAAGTTCAAAAAGTTAATGTTCAATAAAAACGGGTTCGGTTCCGCTAACAATAAAAAATAAAACAAGAATTAGAACCCAAAGTAGGTACGTTACACTAGTTGAGTCATCTCATTGTCGGAAATACCTATATTTTACAGCCAGAATCAACTTGATATCAACTTGTACGTCAAGGTACTTACGTACTACGTCATGAACTGCGATTTACAAAAAATTTTTCTCATTATTTAAATAAGGCATAAGATAAAAAATATGCAGAATGAGGTCTAATACAAAAACCACGAAAAAAACGAAATGTAACGAAATATAAAAAACTACTTAACTTTTCAATCTTATTTCATTTCAATTCAATTGTATCATTGCAGTACTGCCTAATTTTGCTTTCAACAATCAAACAAAAAAACACCATATTCAGCTTCCACTGGAAACTTAACAAAATGCACCATATTTAGCTTCGACTGAAAATTACTTGAACACAAGAGTAATGGAGTAGCCTTTCTCCTAAATATTAATTAATTTTTATATATATATATTATTATTGTCATTATGTCGAATTTTGTACAAATTCACTTAAAGATATAACAAACAGTTGGGCAGATACATACATACATATATTACTCTACAAATGTGAAAATAAGCGTGTACTATAAGAAATGTACCGATATTTCAAATAAACGTAAACTCAAATATCCGTAATTCCGAAAACCGATTTATAATAAAACCATTAAGCTTTCAAGTAATTTTGATGCTTCTCACAAAGCCAAAATTAGGTTTTGTTTTGTAATATTCCTAAAAAAATACATTTGACATTATGAAAATTCGAGCTAACGTTATTTCGGGCAAATGTATTTTCTGACTTCTGATAGGTAATCCCTAGCCGTAAAACGAGTACAACAATGTTTTGTTAGTTATTGCTAACGTTTAATAAAAAGTCATTTAAAAAATAAGATTAAAATCAACACTCTGTTGCTCTGATGCTCTGTATGCGATTTTAACGCCCTACAGGTGCGGACACTTTTTAACGCGAACCCGACGTTCATTTATTGGTAGGTCAATGAGATAGGTATATTATTTAACCGACTGTTGTATTTCACCTTACGTTGCGTTTATAAGATAGCTGATATGCATTGTTTTCAAGTAGTGAAGTATTATGTGTATTAATTGTGCTTTATTAATTATGGATACAGTACTGACTAAATGACATAATTATCCTACAAAAAAAGTGTGTACGAATACTGGCTAATATCAAAAGTCCAGAAAGTTGCCAACCGCATTATAAAAAACTTGGGATCTTAACAATAACATTTATATTTTCAATAAATGATCAACTAAAAAATGAACAACGTGATATATTTTTTATAAAGTTTTAAAGCAAATTCTGCTAAACAAATGTATTTACAATAATTAAATTTTTATTGAATTGATATTCAATTATTTTTTGTGAAATTACTCTTGTAATGTATTTACACCTTGGAAGAATATTTTTAGGATTAGATATTATTGTATTTAATAAAATTAATGGATTAATAATTAGATTGAATGAATAAAAACTTCGATCTGTCTGTCACCAGACATTGCTACTTCCTTCTGTTTTCATATGTTTGATATACATTGAATTATTAAGGACACGTACATGTGAATTGCAATATTATAAATGAATGAATGAATGATATTTAGCGAAGTAATTTTGAATTCACTGTGTATTGACATGCTCTTTTGAACGATGC